ATTTAATGCAAGCAATTTAAAAGTAGAATTTTAACCTTTTCCTCAAAAACCTTTTTCTTCCTACACAACAGCTTGATAGGTTAACAGATACAAGCAAGCTGCAAAACTCTCTTCCATGCCACCATTTCAAGAACCAAGCTTTTTTCATCCCAAATCAACCTCATAATGTCCAAACTAACCCCATCATCATCAACCCAAATCAACCTCATCATCCTCACACTTCTACTCTTCACTTTGCCCTTTTATGGAAACTGCCAGCCCAGTATCAATCCAGAGAGATCAATTTTGCTTCAAATAAAGCACCATTTTTCTAATCCATCCAATCTTTCCCACTGGAATTCATTGTCGGATCATTGTACTTGGCCGGAGATCACCTGTGGAGATGGCTCCGTCACTGGAATCCAGCTCGCCTTCTTAATGCTGAACCAAACCATCCCACCATCCATATGTGACCTCAAAAACCTCACCATTCTTGATCTCAACCACAACTTCATCCCTGGACCTTTTCCTGTAGCTCTCTACAATTGTTCAAATCTTGAATTCTTGGATTTGTCTTACAACTACTTCAATGGCTCCATCCCCAGTGATGTTAACCGGCTTTCTTCTCGGCTGATGGCTTTTAACCTCTCCTCAAACTTTTTCACTGATGGCATCCCACCGGCCATTGGAGGACTAAAGGAGTTAAAAGAGCTTCAGTTTGGCGCCACCTTCTTAAATGGCTCTTTCCCGCCAGAAATTGGTGACTTGTTGAATCTTGAAATTCTGGTTTTGGATGACAATGCCTTTCCGCCGCAGAGTATCCCGTCAAGTTTTACTCAATTGAAGAAATTGAGGAAACTATGGATCACAAATTCAAATTTGGTTGGAGAAATCCCGGAGAATATCGGTAACATGACAGCTTTGGAATTCTTGGCTTTATCTGGAAATAGTTTGCGCGGTAACATTCCGAGCAACTTGTTTCTGCTTAAGAATTTGACCACAGTTTACCTCTACGTAAACAAGTTGTCAGGTCCTATTCCTCAATCAGTTGAGGCCTTGAATTTGTATTGGATTGATTTTTCCAATAACACCTTAACCGGCAAAATCCCTGAAGACTTTGGGAAGCTTAAAAAATTGGAGGGGTTGGTTCTGTTCAGGAATCAATTGTCGGGCGAAATACCAGAGAGCATAGGTAGATTACCTGCATTGTGGGATGTTAGGCTGTTCACCAACAATCTGTCAGGTGTAATTCCAGCAGACTTTGGTAAACATTCGAAGCTGCAAACTTTTGATGTTTCCACAAACAATCTTGTGGGATCATTGCCAGAGGGGCTGTGTGATAACAAGGTGCTTTCTAGCATCATTGCTTTTAACAACCACCTTACAGGTGAGCTTCCAAAGTCTCTTGGGGATTGTCAAACCATGGGAAGTGTCCGAGTTGAAAAGAACCAACTTTCAGGTACAATTCCTGATGGTTTGTGGGCAGCTAGGAATCTGTCAAGGTTCTTGATTAGTGATAACTTGTTTACTGGTGAGCTTCCACGAAAGATTGCATCGAATGTGTCTCTAGTGGATATTAGCAACAATCAATTTTCAGGTGAAATCCCTGCTGGAGTTTCTTCTTGGAATAATCTTGTTAACTTCAAGGCAAGCAATAATCTCTTTACCGGTGAAATCCCTCAAGAACTGACGGCGCTGCAACAGTTATCGGTTCTTTGGTTAGACGGGAATCGGCTTTCTGGGAATTTCCCATCAGAAATTATATCATGGAAGTCACTGACCTCCTTGAAATGCAGCAGGAATCAACTGTCTGGTGAAATCCCTTCAGCGCTTGGCCTTCTGCAAAATCTTAATGAGTTGGACCTGTCTGGAAATCAATTTTCTGGGGAAGTTCCATCTGAAATAGGGCATTTGAGGCTAACCTCACTCAACCTGTCTTCAAATCACCTCTCTGGGAGAATCCCGGGTGCGCTTGAAAATGCAGTTTTTGATAAGAGCTTCTTGAATAACCCTGAACTTTGTGCAACCACCCCTTCATTTGGCCTCAGTATTTGCAAGCTGAATACAAAGAAATCGGATAGTGATTTAGTCAGAATTATAGCTATTCTTGGAAGCGTAGCAGCAGCCTTGTTTCTAGCAGCCATTCTCTTTTTGCTCTTTGTTTCAAGAAAGAAAGGGAAAATAACACAAGGACTAGTCCCAAATTGGAAGCTTACACCATTCCATAGGCTAAGCTTCACAGAATCAAACATTCTGCCAAATTTAATAGAAGACAATGTGATTGGCAGTGGGGGATCAGGGGAAGTTTACCTGGTACCCTTACATCAAACAGGTGAAAAAGTTGCTGTTAAGAGGATTTGGAATTGCAAGAAGTTGGATCGAAAGCTCGAGAAGGAGTTTCAAGCAGAAGTGCATATACTTGGAACAATTCGCCACTATAACATAGTAAAACTCCTGTGTGGAATCTCCAGTGAAGACTCTGAGCTTCTTGTCTATGAATTCTTGGAAAATCGCAGCTTGGATTTATGGCTCCACCCAAAGAGAAGATCATACGTTGCATGCCCACCTCATCACCAAGTCCTGCAATGGCCAACCAGGCTGCACATTGCCATTGGGGCAGCTGAGGGGCTCTGCTATATGCACCACAACTGCTCCCCACCCATTGTTCATAGAGACGTGAAATCAAGCAACGTGCTTTTAGACTCTGGGTTCAATGCTAAAATTGCAGACTTTGGTCTAGCAAGAATGTTGATCAAGCCTGGAGAAGCTAACACAGTCTCAACAGTGGCTGGCTCTTTTGGCTACATCGCTCCGGGTATGTTTAGATTCATTCACCGAAATCTCATAGTCTCTGCTATGGTTTTCAAGTTTCACTAAGGCCAAACATGCTAATGATTTGCTTTTATTGTGATTTTCAGAGTATGCACACACAACTAAAGTGAACGAGAAGACGGATGTGTACAGCTTCGGGGTGATCCTTTTGGAGCTTGTTACCGGAAGGGAACCCAACGATGGTGGCACTGCAGAGTTGTGCCTGGCTGATTGGGCATGGAAACACGTCCAAGAAGGAAACCCCATAGCCGAGGGACTCGATGCAGGTATCAAGAAGCCACAGTACTTAGATGAGATGAAATCTGTGTTCAAACTTGGCATCATCTGTACTAGCAAACTTCCTTCCACAAGACCTACCATGAAAGAGGTCCTGAAAATCCTGCATTGCAACCATCATTCTTGCATTGCTTCACCACTCCTTAAACATCCAGGGAGTGAGAGGACCTCAGAGAGTGAAGATGATGATGAATTTAAGTCCATAGTGTGAAGGACTTCAGAGTGTTTAAGATGAATATATAGCTACATACATAAATGTTTATTATGCTGTTTATAGAAGAAGTAAACAAATAAATATGTATCTTTAGTTAGGAAGCTTTAGATTGCAAGATGTTTTCCCCCATGAACATTTTCAAAGTACCAAAGTGTATCCTGGCTTTCCCCGTGGCCAGTAATTAAGATCAACCCTTGTTCATGCATGCTTCCTGGAACTAAAATGAATAAACAGATATAAGTGTCAAATTTTAGGAATCGAAAGCATATCTCTTTGAAGCTCTTGAATATTTGCTTGCATTGAACAATACATTCCTAAAATCATTTATCATACCTTGACGATTAGACATTTAGCATACTTTCACAATTCTATTTAGCACTCAATAGCCAAAGATGTGCGACACTAAGGAATGACAATTTTAATCAATGCTATAAAATTCAAAGCATTCACCAATCTTTAGCGATAATTTTTCAGAGAAAACTAACCAAAATGATTCAGATAGCAGAATATTAGTTTGTTCGTGTTGGGAGAGGAAAGAACATCAATTATTGAAAGAAAAATACTAGTACTAGGGTTGTGTTAGTATAGGAAATAGGAATTATGGAGGAACCAGTGAAATGAAGTCCACAAAGAGATAGAGAGCCGCTTGGATACCAGAAACGAATCGCAAAATAATACCTGGCTGGGATACAGAACTGATAAACAATTTGTTTGATACACGTGATGTGGATCTTATTCTGAGAATACCAGTTTCTTATCAAGTTGATGATCAATGGTGCTGGAGAGGTGATTTACGAGGGGTGTACGCTGTCAAACATGGCTATCGCATGCTTTCTAATGACTTGGATGATACTCAATATAATGAAATTTGGGTGCGGTATGGCGTCTAAAAAGGGAAAATGACTGAAATATGAACTAATAAATATGTATTTTGGTTCTAAAATTATGATGTTGTTGAAAGTTGGACAAAAATATAAAAAAACATTTGAAAAATGTGTTTGATGTTAGAATTAGTCAAACACAAACGCAAATTCGAAGTGGGACTTGCGTCTGTGCTTTTTCTTTTTTATAATTTGGTCGACGTTGATCAGGTACTCGTTGGCGGGAGTTCGGGGAGGAAGAGGAAGCTGGCTGGATATTTTTTTTTAGAATTTTTATTAGACGGTCATAGCTGTCCATGGCCCTTTGGAACAAGGGCGGCAGGCATGGCTGCCCTCATTTCAGGCCGTTTGAGGTCCAGATTTGGACCTCATGTTTCACACTCGTGGCTGTTCGACTGTCATTGCCGGACAACCCGGTTGTCTATAAAATACGCAGCCACCGACTGAACAATCAGTGGCTAAAATTTTTTTTTTGGCAACCTGTAAAAAAAATCAATGAAACAAATTTAGTTAGTAGAAGGATAGTAGATAGGCTTATTTGACACTTCTGTCTTTTTCTTTTTTTCATGAATAAGTTTATTTTGATTACTAACACTAGGATTCAAACTTGAGACTTCTCATTTAAAAAACCACAGTTATGCCGCTCAATCACAAAGCTTTGGCAAAATAAATTTATTTTAAAATTATTATTATCAAAATGAGTTTATTATATTTTCACACCTGACCAGTTGACCCATCAGTGATCAGTCTATATCACATTATCACCGAAAGCACATGGACCAGATCAAAATTGCAACCCTTATTCCTACCAAATCTTATTGGTTATAATTCATTGATAAATCGAAACAAAGAACTTTATTAAATACAATTAAGCGTTCATTCAGGGTTTATGATTACAGTTCTCATGAAACACAAGGCTTCTCTGCAGCTACGCGTGTGAACAACCCTCTCTATCTGCCACTGAATTCAAGCTTTCAAATAACATTTCCAATGGACTCCAACTCAAGAAAGCCTCTGACAATTACTCTGCCGGAAACGCAACTGCTTCGGCCACCGACCAAAGAGATTCGTCGGCTTCGAGGTACTGCGAATGAGCGGCCGCCAAGAGCGCAGCTCCGATACCCGAGCCGTCGTTTGAGTGCTCGATGACGAGGCTCTCGGACGCCTCCCCCAGCAGCTCTTTAAGTGTGCTCTCCATACAGTCTCTGAACTTGGTGTAGTGCTCGAACAGCCCTCCGTCCACTGCCACGACGGATCTCTTGTTGCTCTCCCCCGCCTTCCAACTGTCCCTTCCCAACTTCTTGAGTATGCCTACGATCCCTGCAGCCGAGAGGCGGGCTGCTCGAGTCGCAACAATGTCGCACACCTCGACCACTACTTTCCGCATTTTCAAGGAAGAGTTGGGTATCTGTAAGCCAAAATAAAAGAATTGGGGATAAAGGGATACAGCAGCTACTATTTGAGGGTGTGCACAAGGTAAAACCGGTGACCCTAACCGGCAAAGGAGAGTTAATACCATCTGAGGTCCTCCGAGTATAATGGTTTTGCCATGTTTAGTCCTAAACTTTCAAATTGACCATCTGTGGTCCTTCGACTTTCAAATTTAACCATTCATGGTCCAAGTTAACCACCCATGGTCCTTCAAGTTTCAAAATTTAACCAGTCGTGGTCCTCTTGAAAGGACCATGGTTGGTTAAAATTTAATAGTTGAAGGACCATGAGTGGTTAACTTGGACCACGAATGGTTAAATTTGAAATTTGAAATTCGAAGGACCATAGATGGTCAATTTGAAAGTTTAGAACTAAACGTGGCAAAACCACTATACTCGGAGGACCTCAAATGGTATTAACTCCGGCAAAGGACTACAAAGAGGTAAACCAGCCTAAGTTATCCATAACTGACTCGCTCAGAGCAAAAAGACTAATAGGCCATTCCAGTTGGGAGTCGAACGCGGAACCTTGTGGTTACGAAGCCCGAATGCACATTTTATTATTTTATATATACTATTGCTACAAAAGTATAATAAGCTTCATACCTCCAAAATATCCTTTAGTTTGTTGCCAACCACCTTCAGATCAGCAGATGTGTCACGATGCATTGCAGACATGTCAGGAGTCCTACAAGCATCGAAAGAAAAAGTCTTGAGGATCTTCTCGTATTCTCGATTGGCTATGCACCCACGCATGTATTTAAAGCATACCGTACCTTAAAATGAAAGGAATTTTCAACTTTGGTGGGACAGTATCACCAAAAAGTTCGGCTTCTTCAGCCATTTTGCACAAGACTCTCCGGACAATCTCTCCGAGATACATGCCAGAAATTAGCTTCTCGTATATCTGCACCGGTTCGTTTAAAAAATGAAATAACATATTCACGACAGAAATTAAAACCGCACAAAAACATATAACCCAATATAACAACCTGCTCTCCCGGGTTCAGGCTCTCGGCATCCAGACTTAGATCATAGTCCGATAATGGAAGATGAGATGACCGGAAATTACCCCATTCAGTGTTGATAACCTTCAAGAATAAAGTATAACATGTTCAAACTATGACCAATGTGCACCACATAGCTCTACAACCTCAAGGTTTCGAAACACGAGGGGGTAAAAAGGGAATTTATCAAGCTTGGACAACAACTCACAACCGAATTCCATAGAACACTTACCATCTCTCCTGATTTAGGCAGTAAACCATGCCATTTCGGAATCGCATTTGCCCGCTCCACATATGCAGCATTGGTTCCAGTACCCAATATGACTGCAGCAACGACATCGGGGTTGTTATATCGACCCCCCGCTAACGTTCCAACAGTATCATTGACCTGGACCGTCAAACAAATCAAAATTCTTCAATCCAGAAAACTTCCGAGTGGTATCACAATTTGTTTAAAACGCTCACAAGCATTTATAAGAGAACGGGAAAATTCTCCGACATACCAAAGCAGCCACACGCATATCAAGGCCAGCTCTTTCCATTGCTTTTGTCAACTCTTCTACAACATCTTCTCCAACCTATGCAAAAGTAGTCAATCACTTAGCTACCCAAAATTTTTGTTTTTTTTTTTTAGTACTATTGACTCTGTTACAATACAGTATCTGTTCATAAGTACTTTCTCAACCTACCGCCTCCACTGAGACTTGAACCCACAACCTCCCATATGAGAAAGTAACTTGGTGCCACTAAACCACAAGGTCATTGGCACCGAAAATTTTTGTCGGATCATTGGTTTACACTTGAAACCTTAGTGACAATCGCACAACATAAGACATCGTAAAGCAAGAATATAATCTCAAACTAACCATTTCGTCTATGTTAAAGCCCTTTGTCCATTTTATAAGAGTTCCCGATGCTATCGAGGTTTGTCTAGTCGGGAATGAAAAGGTGAAGCCCAATTCCCTTTGTTTATCAGGTGGAATGTGGAAATCTTCACCTTCTTTCTTGACAAACATTGCGAGCTCATGGGCAATAAAATCAAACAGTGCCTGAAATCGGACCAGGAAAACAACCTTAATTAAATTCAGTGTTGGAAGAAGAAAAGTTGCAACGATGAATTGGTAAACATAAAACACTCACCTCGGATGATCCAACCATCAAATGCCGTGGAATTGAGACTTCTTGAGATTCTCTATTAACTACGCCTTTCTCTTTCCCTCCCAACTGCACACGCATGACCCGGAAGTTTGTACCTCCTAAGTCTAGCGCATAAAACAGGCCTTCTTCATCCCTGAAAAGTATCGACATTGAAACAATGTAAAGCGAGTTTATCTTGCAGTAAATATATGCAAGATAAAGTTTACTTTTTGTTTTCGGGTGCAAAGAGGGGATAATGGAAAGTAAAAAGTTTATATTGCACCCACATCTTTAAAAGCTAAAAAGCATGAATCAACCATATACCATCAAATTAGACACTTGTAAGCGTATCGAATAAGCATACAAGTTTTAGATATCCAGATAACTAGAACTCCATAATGTTCAAAGGAAGCATAAAGTCTGAACAGAAAAGGGAGAATAGATGATAGCCAATCTCGATCAGTTGGCATAAGATTCTAAAAATGCAACTCTGACTTCTATCAATAGTTAAACATACCAGCAAAAAAGAATGGCTTTTAAAAGGCTATGTAGTTTCATTAATTGCATCAGAGGGGTCCATACCATGGACTACAGCACAAAACCACCAAGATTACTTTATCTTTATCAAAAGAACATCCTAAGTATAATCAATGCAAAGATTCATAGGATGCTCAAGTTTACAACCTAAATATATACTCTACCACCAACCAAACTATCCTTAATTGAATTAACCCAAATTCTTCAACTTAAGAACTCTAGAATATAGCAGTATTTTATTTTATTTTTCTGGAGATTTAAGGTTGATCTATACTCAAAGCCAAGGATCGAACCTTTCAACTTTGGTTAAGGATGGATGAGTCCATTCCAGTCAATCACACCGTGTTAGAATATAGGAGTATTAAATATGCAAATAAATGATCATAAGAGGTACTATCTGCACCTTTAAAAAAATCCCATATGTTCATTAATTAGCAAATATTTTAAAGAATATACAGAAAATCATTTAAAGGGCATATTCAAATTGGTTAATCCGTATGTATTCAAGAAAGCCATAAAGTTAACAGCTTCAATTAAAAGAATTATGGAATCAATCATCCAAACACAAACCCAGATTTTTTTTTTCTAAAAGAGTAAAAAAAGATTTACAGAGATAGATATGCATGTGTTTTACTGACCCAGAGGGGAGGTTATCAACGTAGCTAATAAGCATCTTGAGTTTGCTGCCACCCTCAGATGCAAGTCCGGCGTGCATCTCGACGGCCATGGCGTCGGCGACTTGCCGGAGCTTGCCGGCCGGCGTCCCACACTTCTCCTCCAGCTCTTTCAGTAAAGCCACGGTCTTGGCCCACCGGCCGGAGCTCCTCATGTGGTGCCTCACCACGAGCGCCGCCGCGACGCACACCGCCGCCGCACACACCACCCCAGCCCCCACCGCCAACTTGCCCATAATATCCTCTACTTCAAGTTCGCAACTTTACCTCTTCTCTATGATGCCCAGCCCTGATTACAGGTATTTTCAGCGCGTATAAATATATATATATACAAAAATTAGCTCCACCCAAAGCTATTTGTACCTAAATATTTCAGAAAAAAAAAAAAAAAAAAAAAAAAAAAAACACTCAAATCTAATCAAAGCAGGAGAGATTAGCCGGGTATTTAATGTATTTTTGTTTGTGTAAGATAAGAAAATAGTAAAATGTTTGGAAGATTTTTGTGCAGAGATTTTTAAGGAAGAAGACAGCTAACGAAAGGAACTCCCAAATAAAAAGTCTTGAAATGAAACAATAAGCCAATAACTCATATTATACTCATATAGATATGAATAAAATATAATGAGTTTGCCAAAGTGCTTGTGGTAAAGTGACATAACTGTTTTTTTTTTTTTTTTTTTTTTTGGATAAGATAAGGAACTGCATAACTGTGGATCTCTCTAAAATTAAAGCTATAGTTCAGTTCACTCATACATTAGTATTTATTATTAATCACTATTAATGTGTCATTATTTTATTGTATACTTTTTTTATATATATAATTGAATAGATTTTTTATTAACTCATAATGAAGTTAACTAATTCAGCTGGAAAATTAAAGAGTTTTCTTCATCAATTAATACAACGCTCGTGAGTGAAAAATTATATAGAAATTTTAGTAATGAAGAATAGCATTTTTCTAAAGTTTAGTATGAAAATTATGTATTAAAGACTTTGTGGTTCAATGGTACTAAGTTGAACTCTTAAACGAGAGGTTGTAAGTTTCAGTCTCTACTAGATGTTTCATATAAAAAGAGAGATTACAATTAAATTTTCATATTTATTCATACCATTTAATTTTTTTATTTTTTATTTGAATACATCAACTATGTGATGATATCCTGATTACCATTTCAAATTGGTGGTCATAGAGTTATTTGGGCTGAAAAATATTTGAGAACGTATAGAACAAAGATACTTCACTGTAAAAATCACGAGTATTTCAAAAAAAAAAAAAAAACTAACAAAATATTAATAAAAAATAACTAAAATAATTATTTCTCAAATAATTGAGAATAAAAAAAAAAATTAGACATGACAATAACTATAAAATTAAGTCCATACATAGAATATAACTAATAGACCAAATATGTCATTTTTTCAAATTAATTATATAAACTTAGATTCACAAATTATTTGATTATATTATGAATTAATTATATAGAATTTTAGTAATACCTTCATATAAAAAAAATAGTTTTTTAGTTGATGAAAATTTAATTTCTAAAATAAAATTGCTATTTTCACACTTATAATTATTATTCTTATTTTCTTTATATTATTTATCTGTAAATTAATTATATAAACAAATTAAAAATAATGTAAATAATAAATAAATACAACTTAATAAAAGAATAACACGTTAAAAAGAGTAACAAGGCTGAGAGGGAATGTGGGTAAAAGAGGAAAAGTTTGTTTTGCCTGAAATTTACCCGAAAGAATCATCATTGTCCTCTATCTTGTGATTCTTATCCTTTATTTTTGGAATTCGGACCTAAATTTGACATATTGCTAGCATCTACAAAATATAAAACGGTGGGGAATTGTAATAGTTTGGGCGAAAAATTGTAGATGAATTTGTTTTTATTAGTAGTATAAAAGTATAGATTATCATTAAATAACAAGTAAATTTGTGTCACTATTATAATGTAATGTAGTTGTTATTTGGACACAATGAATATAAATTTGTATTACTAAAACATATTTAATAGCTCCTAAAATTTACTTAACCATGCAACGTTAAACTTAATAAGCTCACATCCACAAAACTTCATAAAACTACATGTACACAATTTGGTTAAACATAATGGTGTTTTTTTTTTTTTTTTAAAAAGATTTGAAAAGAGAATGGGTAATTTTGTTTCAATAGTATCTTTTTTTCTTCCCAACCAATGCGGAATTGACATTCCGGGATAGCATGTTATTCTTATTCCATGAAAATGATGAAATTGCAAATCCTTTCAACCAAACGAAAGAATTTGCTTGCTTTCAGAATTATGTACGAGTAAAATTATAATTCCCTTCCAACTAAACAGTTTATTAATGTGTTTAATTGTAACTTTTAAAAGTGTAAGGACGTTCACGAACCTATTTAATCCTTTATTTCTCTTTAAAAAATATATAATTACTTCTTTTTATTTATAACTGATGTAGTAAATATCTGGGCTTACTACAAATACGTATAAAGTACGAGACCGGACCGGGTTATATATGGCCCTTGTGTGGTATGTTTATTGGTTTAATGGGTTAAGCTCGGTTGTAGGCGTGAGGCCGGAGGTTCCTGAGCTAAATAAGGCTATAGAGAAATTGTCAAAAGTCCCCTTTACTAGCATCTCGCGGGGTATTTATAGGAAATTTGAAGGGACACATGCCGGGTGACCGACATGAGCGCCACGTGCCCTCCATGCACTCGGTAATCGGGTCGGCTGAGGAGAGACGTACACGTGTAGAGATGTATATGACTAGCTAGTTACTTACTCGAATCATTTCGGATGCCAAGTATTCGTGCTAGGGGTCTCGGACGAGCAGTCGGGTCGGGACCAAACACAGAAAAGCTAGACCAACGGTTCACCAAGCGAACGAAGCAATTAAAACCTTCAGGTCGAGTCGGTCAAGCGCCAGATAGGAAAATGGTCCGGGTCTCAAGACGGTTCATACCCGATCAAGTCCAGGGGTACAAAAAGGACAATAGACCAGAATATATTCCCTATTAGTAACAATTTAGATTTTCTATTCGTAAAATATATTCCATATAAGTATATTGTTGACAAGGGATAACGTTAATATTTGTGCTTGATATTTTATTGTGTCTATGCATCGTTTGCAAGAAAAGTAATGTTTAAAACAAGCACACAACCATAATGCTTATCTTTAGTAACACGTACCCAAGTTACGTTATTCCAAATGTTTATTTAACTAAAATTTCTTATCCTTAGGCTTGGCTTTGCATTATACTTCACTTTGTTAGAAGTATTAGGAATACAATTTACTAAATAATATTTTGCTATTGATTCTCTTGGTGGAAAAAAAATAATAATCTAACAATGGTCCATTTAATTTAATATTTCACCCTTAAATATTCTTAACACTTGGCATAACTTTTGCCCTTTTTCCCCTCTCCCCAAACAAGACTTCTACACCTAAAGGAGAGAATATCAACCAAAATCATTCTTTGTCTCAATATCAACTAAATGAAAGTATAAAGTTTTTTTTTTGTCAGACCATGAGGTGACTTGAGTAAGCTAAATTATAGAGTTTTTGACATAAGAAAATTTAAAAAATGAATTCACCAATTTTTTACTTTTAACAATAACACAATCACGAAAAATTTAAAAATCTAATCTAAAAACATAATAAGTCTCAATCAAAGTTATATCCCTAATTTATGTCCATACTTTTAATGCTAATCATTTTATACATTGTGCTTTTAGAGTTGTACTATATAATTTTTTAGACAAAAATACCCTTACCATTATAACTTCCGTTATCTTTTTCATTATTGTTACCATGCACATGCATCTACCATATATTTTCATATATTATTTAATAATAATAATAATAATAATAATAATAATATTTGTAGACATTATATATTATATTATTATAATAAATAAATTTGATTTCATACAGATTTTAATTAGTAAGGATCGGATTTTTTAATTATTTTTAAAAAATATCAATATTGGATATATATTTTTGCGCATCGCGAAAAAGACTAATAGAATAATATAATCTATAAATTGAATACTCCGAAGTATTTAACTTTTCCTTCTCTAAGTATTTACTTCACTTTTTTTTTCTTCCAAATGAGACAAATAGTTTCCTTTTGTGTATTGACGATGACAGTCACAATGAATAAATAAATATAAATATATATTATATTATGTTGAATATTCCAATAGTGTGTGGATTACAATTAACATGGTTGAGTCATTATACTCCATCTAGAAGCGCACACACCCCCCCCCCCCTCCCCCCCGGGGTTTTCATACTGCTACTCACGGAACCAGGGGCTAGCTGGGTTCCGACTCAACTTCTTATATAAAATCTCTGTATTTCTGTACGACTTTAAAAATAAAAAATAAAAATATTACGGAGTAATAAATTTTATTTTATTTGACTTTGGTAAACGAATTCCTTTTTTTTTTCAAATCTGATGAGCAGTTTTCTGGATTTACTATTTACTTTCCTTGAAGTAAAAATTTTTAAAATTATTTTAAGGATTTATTTGACTAAAGCTTTGATGTCACATGAGCAAACGTAACAAAAAAGAATTATAAAACTATTTTCAAAAACTTTACGTTACTCCTAAGTCCTAAAAAAATCTTGCGAATGCACCCAAGAGAAAGCTCAACAATTTGATTTTTTGTTCAGATTTTTTATATCCAAAAAGAAAAGAGAAGAAAGATAGAAAAAAAAAATGAAAAAAACAAAGTCCATTTTCATTTAATTAATCAGCTACCAACTAACAACTAATTTACCAAATAATTTTCTACATTCAGCTAATGCTATCAACTAGTCAAACTCACTAACTCAATTAGCTAACAACTACTCCGTATTTACCAAACACCCCTAAATGAAATTTCATTGGCCTTTTACAAAGAGCAAGGACGAAACCATGGGAGCCCTCTTCAAGTTGGGATTGAATTTATTATTTGGGGTAAAGATTAGGCGATTAGGTGTGAAAGGTGAAGTAACACCAGATCCACGTTGGACCTATCGCCATCCCACATTATAAAGTACCTAGCTAGTATAAGACCTGAATAGATAATATGCAATTACGTCATGATGGTACATTTGGATAAGTGCTGCCTAATAAATATCACTCCCTAAATAATAGGGATTAAGACACTTTAGTGGCAAGATTTAGGTTGTCCTAATTCATACAAAAGCTGACAGGCTGGTTAGGATGGGATCCATCTCAGGTTGCTGCCTCTTATTTAGGCATTTATCATTATCATGCAACTGCCCAGTTTCTTCAAATAACAATACAAGATATCATTGCTCCAAAATGCCACTATATGGAATGTTAAAATGTACATCTACACTGCCTAACAATCCAGATTAGAGATAAACCATCCACCAAATGGTAAGTGCATTATTTGGTGTCAATGATTGAAATTTAAGTTCAACGGGAATGGGATAAAGTAGGAATTCAAATTAACCAGACAGACTATAAGTACCTGTACATATATATCTACACACGCAATATGGCTAAAGAAGATAAAGCAGGGAATTACCCACCAAGCTCTGCGCGAGTTGGAATAACGGGTACTAGGAAATTGCCAAATGGAGAATCGAATATCCTAAAATTGCCTTTGCTACCCTCTTGTTGTGCCTGTGCTACTGCCAAGTTCTTGGCCTGTTTTATCTTGTCACTGGCTGCGCTGCTCGTTTGTGCAGCACCACTAACCTGCAGACGGAAAAAATGGATTTAGGAAATGTCCCCGCAATGTTTAATAGTAAATACACAAAGCCAAAAGAATGGCTCAATGGATGCATACGGTTGGTTTATCCTTAGATTCTGAAGGAATGGAGGTAGCCCTGCAGCAAGAATAGGCAAAGGGGTAAATCTCCATAAACGGGAATCCAACAAACTTCACTCAACTCTATACATCTAATCCAAACACCAGCAAATAGTAGACAAGTACTGAGTTTTACATATCAAGAGGACCACCACAACTATGTTTCACAACAAGCAAGGAATCAAACATTTGATTCCAATACTATGTTTGGCTATAACTGAGCTATGAATATCAGATTAGCCCAGATCTGGCTCCCTTTGGAATGGGGCTGATTCAAGAAACACAGTGCAGAACTTTCAGTACCAGTAAGTAAGCTAAAAGACTAAAACAGTACAGGATAGGGAATCATATATAATTTTGTCTTATAATGCGTACCAAAAGGATAAAAGTTTGTCTTATATATAGTGTTAGAATAGTCCAATATACTAATGTGATAAATCCACTGGGATCACTAAGTCCACAACCACACTGTCATGTAAACCAGATGATCCCCAGAAGCTATCATTCCAATGATTCTAAACTACAATCATCATTTCACTTTTTTTCAAATTCCAAATTCATGGTCATAAACACGAAACAATTAACAACAGAAGCATTACCCATTTACCCCAACGCAACAGAAATCAGACTACAACAGTGAAAAAAAAAACCATGAATCATAGTATTACTTTTTCTTTTGGTCCAACTAAGGGGAATTGGGAATGAATCTCAAGCCCACTTCTTAAAGTTACCAATTTATGCTGCTATATAGCTAAACTATATGAATTTAAGATGAATGTTAAACAAGCATATACAATAATACAAAGCACACTACTAAAAAATTTTAAAATTAACCCACACGTATTAATCTAAAGAGTATGCTTAACATTAATCCCCAGCTCATCTTAGCAGCTTCATAGATTTTAGCCATAGATGTCTTCCTAACTTGGGAGAAAATTATTTTTGAAAAGTGTTTATATATGCAATTTGCAAAATATTACTCCACTAATCATCATAGAACTCCGGAAATGTTATGTATTAAATTGATGAATCTCTCACCGGACGGATTTAAACAAAATTTGATGTTTTGAAGAAAAATGATTACCGGCGTGAGGTTTCACTTTCGATTTTCCTTCGCTTGGGTTCAGAAGCCATGGCGGTAATGCACCCTAGTGCTCGAGCATATAGAATTTTGAAAGGCAAGTAAATGGTGTTGGGCCTAATTTATAAAATAGCCTTAAATAAATTGGGTAACTGAAACAGGCCTTTAGGCCCCAGATCATTTAGGGGCAAGTTATGTTGTGGAACTATGTCCACTTTGCAAGGTGGACACGGTTCTAAAATTGTTCATAATTATGAATATATAGTTCAAAAATTATAAACATATAGTTTTATAATTATGAACATAGAGTTGTGAACATAATTATGAATATATAGTTCTGTATTATGAATATAGAGATTCAATAATTGTGAAATATGAAGTTTTAAAAATAATGCATATATAGCTTTATAATTATGAACATAGAGTTTTGTAATTATGAACATAAAGTTCTGAAATTGTGAATATAGAGTTCAATAATTATGAATATGAAGTTCAAAAATTATGAATATATAACTTTATAATTATAAATATATAGTTTAATAATTACGAACATAGAACTTTGTCCACCTTGCAAGGCTGACACGATTCCACAGCATAACGATTGATCATTTAGGTGTCTAGTCTGGCAATTTATATCGTGGACTCTAGTTCAATACACAAAATTTTACTTTATAAGGTACACAGTTACACATACAGTCGATTCAATTTAGTCTGACAATTTAAATTCACGTTCATAATGCATAAAATTTATGTTCATAATACAGAGTTACAAATACACATAAACACGATATAATAGACATGAATTTTGTGCATTATAAACATAAATTCTGTATATTATGTTAAGTATTTATGTGTCCTCACCTATATAATGCACATAATTCATATTCATTATATCGTGTTTATGTGTATGTGTATTATGAACATAAATTCTGTGCATTATGAACATGAATTATGTGTATTGCACCAAGCGTCACTGTGGACCCTAGTCCATGATATAATGATTGGTCTAGTTTTCCTGCAAACAATCATTATTGTGTGGAGTGTAAACCATGGTCTACACAATATTGTGTGAACCATACTATTAAACAATGTACATTAACTACACAAATAATATATTTTTACATTTAGTATGCAAATAATATACTTTTAGTATATTAAAATTTTATTTTTTGTTATGTCCACACAATAATTTATATTTTGGATCCGAAATTTCCACTTCAGCAAATTATACTATAGATCAAGGTCCACTTACAATTAATATGTAAAGGCCTTATGATCAAGCGACATAGCTGTGGTCAATGAAGGATCACCACAAGATGGGAGCTTTGACTCTTCAGTAGCCAGTAGGTGAGAAAGTCTCTATGAAAAGAAACTACATTCTAATAATACTTGCACTGAATGACAGACTTCCATCAGGAAAATTAAGAGAGCAGGCAAACATTAAATTGGTAAACATAGAATGCAATCACGTACAAAAACAAAGCTCTTCCAACACATTTCAGGCAACGTGGACACAGTTCTGGAAGAAGTGCAAAAGATAGAAGATGAACAGAAGGTCTATAATTTGTAGATAATAAAGAAGATGCATATGCATTTGCAGAATAAGAGATGAGGACGAAATTTAAGTCCTCATCGGTTTGCTGAGGGGCAGCGACGCATAACCCCTCGGGTGGCCCCACATTGCAGCATAACCCCACGCTGGAATTCATCCTTAAGTGCAGTAAAGATACGTACCTTCTTGAGGTACCATTGAACGGGCATATAGATCGCATTCATAGCGAAGGGGGTGTACTCGTCAAGAGGGAAGTTGTGAACGGCGAGGGTCTCCTTGATCTTCTTAAGCTCGGAAGTCGCATCGAACCTGTTCGGTCTGAATGCCATGCTTATCAAACTACAATTTCTTCAGTGATTAGCAGGTAAGCGTCCCAGGGCCAGGGAGTCGATCTTTATAATACCCAAAGCTTCCATGTGAAGCAATAATTTGAAATTTTCCAGGCTCATAAATGCTTTTTAGGGTACCAAGATCTGGGAAACGTGCCACCACCCGTTCCACGAACCAAGGCAGCTAGCCCATGTTTTCACACCCATGCAAACCGGGCGAGATCAAGTTCACCAGCCAACGGCGTCGGAAATACACATCTCCGGCCAAGGAGACTGGAAGAAACAACATTTGACTGAGTACTGTAGAGCTCCAAAACACATCCAACACCTCAGTTAATGGAAACGACTTCATCCACCATCCCAAGAACAACTCCACTTCTCTTGTTTGTTTTTTTTTTTTCCTCTCCACCGTACCATTAACAGATGGCACCACACTTCTCTTGTTTTTCTCACCCAATGAAGAACTCAAAACCTCTCCTCTACTCTTGCTCCTTTTTTATAATTTATTCAATGGCTAATCAATGCAAGAGATTCTCAGCTTCCTCCTCATATATTTTTATATATATACACATTCTAGACATTGATTGATTCGTATATACTTAGATCAATTTGTTCTATCAGCTCCCATTTTGATTTGAATTAATTCCAGCAATACTACTCCAATTATTGTGATTTTTCACATTTAGTCTTTCTCTTTTAATTTAGACAAATTAAACCTTTGACTATTAGAATTGTTCCACCATTAATCCTTTCATTAACCTGGCGTTAAATAGATGTTAAGTGAATGGGAAAAACGTCATTTCATATGCTGGGTGTCTATGACTTTGGTGGCGGACACACGATTTGCAGTGCCGCCGTCCGTCGGTTTTGGCTTTGAGGACAAGACAATTTGGAGTGTTGGCGCCGGCCCTATTGGCTTTTGAGGACGGAATGAATAAGGATTTTGAGATCTCAGAATACCATCACTGTGCTTTGTGGTTGCGGAGATTGCGGAGGATATGAACTCAAGGGATGTGCCACCATATGAAGAGATGGAATCTAATTTTGGAGGGTAGGAAAAATGGATGGCAGAACTGAGAGGGTTATATGGAGAAGAACCTGATTCTTCGCCTTCACTCTCTTCTGTATTCTCATTGTTATGCAAGCCAACAATGTTCAGCAGGTAAAATTTTCTCCCTTGTTTTGATTTCTAATTACTTTATAGAATTTTGGGAATGATCTGCGTTGTTTTATTACTATAAATATCAATGGAAGTACAACATCAACAACAATAACATATAAATGGGTAAAAAAAAATAAGGAACTCGATATATCAGTAGTTCACATTATGTAAACCCCTATAAAAGTGTCTATATCAAAATTTTAAGTATGGAAATAAAAATTGAAAGTAGAGAAGGGAAGCACATATAATATTTTCCATATTCTTCATATGCCTAAATATTACAAAGAGTAGAAATAATGTTGTATGAGAAGGGCGCAAGAAATTAAAAAATGGACTCGATTTATCTTGAACTGGATGGATCTGTTTCTATTTAATTAATTAATGATATAATGTACAGATTTTATGGACATATGAATTAAATATGTACATTAAATTACAGCACAGCTGCACTACTATACGTTCCTGCTTTTTACTTCCAAACCTTAATAGCACCATCTCTACTGCTCGATATCAGGAGTCTCTGGTTCAATTTGACAGAACCTAATGAGAGAATACTGTCGCGATGACAGCCCGCAGAATCAGTGGCAGCAGCTGAAAGAATAGCCTTTGCAGTTAACCTGGTTGCCAAGGGTCGTCTCTTTGCCTCCTGGAACTCAATATATCAGTCTAAAAATCTGATCTTTTCATTTATTAGAGTATTTAAGTTCATATTAGTAACAAATTGCATATTAGTAACTTCAGCATTGTGAGAAAAGAGAATATGAGATATACATAGGAACTTGGAGGTTTGTTTAGATTTATTTTAAATACCTACCTGCACAACTTGAGCACCAAAGCTGGATTTCACCTCGTAAAAATCATCATTTGGAACTCCCTTTATAGATGGTCCACAGACACAATAAGTTCGCTCAGGGCTGAAAATGTCATGGTAAATAAAATGAGGAAACCAACAAAAAAAAAAAAAAAAACACACAACAGCAGTGGTAGTAGCGTTTGAGAAATCTATCAAACCTGCAGTGGTCCCAGCGACGTATCTTTAAGTCAGTGCCCCCTGTTAACAGATCCCCACCAGGTAATGGAAGCAGTGTGCGAATACCAGGAAGGCGAGGAGGAGACTCATTCAACTCATCAACTCTATACTTTGAATTTGGATTTCTCCTTTTATCTTGCTTAGG